GAAGAGGCGAGACTGTCCTCAGAGCCAGCACTGCCCTTCGACCGTGCCCAGCCCATACCTTAAAGCGCTTTTCTAGAAACCTTCCCAATTCCCTTGGGTGCCTGGCCCCACCAGAACCAGTGCTGTCTGAGTGGGGCCCTAGTCCCATCTCTTTCTTGAGGTCTCTCTCCCACCCTCTGTCTACTGCCACCCACTCCCACCTCAGGGGCCCTGGTTCCAGGAGAGAGGCCTGGCAGGCGCTCCTTCCCCTGACCAGTGCCACATTTCATTCCTGGGATCAAATGAGACTGTGTCACCAAAATGGTGATGACATGATTTTGAGTCGCTCAAATTGCTTACATAGGCAGGGAGACCACAAATAATATCACACCCTAGAGGTGGCCTTGCGGGGGCCAGTCAGAGAAGAAGTCATGGGCTCTGTGGTTCTCCAGGCTGGGTTCGAAAGGATGAATAGAAGTTTACCAGGCAGGTGAGGAGGGAGGGACCAACATGGGCAAAGGCTCAGGTAGACTGGGTGACCTGATGGAGAAACTAGGAGCTTGGGCCCTCTCCTCTCACTACGGTGGGTCCTTGGCCGCCCAATGCCTTCTGCCCAGAAAGGGCTAAAGTCCAAGCCGTGTTGGCCATGAACGCCCGCTCCCTGGTCACTCACCTGGGGGCTGGGAGACGGCCACCTCCTGGGCAGGCAGGGCAGGCATCCTGGGCGAGGCTCTGGCCTGGGCCTGGAGCGGGAGGGAAGTACTGCTCAGCTGTGGGTGGACCCTGGGACTCCTTGAGCCTGGGGCTCCCTGAGGCCGGGGGTCTGGGCATTAGGTATGCTGGTGGGCCTCAGGGAGGGGTTCCATGAACCCTCCAGGCTGAGTGTAAATTGTGACCTCTGCAGATGGCCGTGTTTCTGGGGGCCCATGACTCACCAAATGTCATGACCAGCTTACTGCCCGGGGCATTCAGAACATGGAGGCCTGCCTCCCAACCAAGCTCTCTTATGACAAGTCTCAAATTCTAGAAGCCCACTTAGCCCAAAAAGTGGTGGAATGGAGGGAAGAAGGGGTTTCTGGTGGCTGAGTAGACAAACCCCAGCCCAACTAGCTGAGCTGAAGGCCTGCCCACACTGGGAGGGAGGAATCACTGGGCCGAGGCTCAGAGAGGGCATGAGAGAGCAAGGGTTGTGGCTGCTAGCTCTTTCAGTTCCTGCTGTGACTCCTGCCCTTGGCCTTTGGTCACCTTCTTGGCCCAGCAGGCCCTGCAGTGGCAGCCTGCCTGGCCTGGGGCCAAGGAATCCATTTTCGGGAGTAGGCCCAACACTCAGCCACCTTCCGAGGCAAGCATGCTGCTTTCCCCTCCCTTAGTAACCCCAGGTTACCCAGAGTGCCCCCATTAGGGAGCCAAGGGTAGCATGGGCCTGGGGGTGGCCTTACCTGAATTACCTGGTCTACCTTCAGGTCCTCCAGAGATGGGTACAGGGCGGACATGGCTGCTCCTTGGGGCACCCTGCAGAGCCATAGAGAGTGAGGAGGGGATGAGGAATCAGCTCACAGCCTCTCGAGAGGAGGCACGGCATGCGCCTCCTGCCATTTGTGCTGTGGCCCTCGCAGATAAGAGAAAGACACCAGGAAGGTATTCTTACCCCCGTTCTATGAGTGAAAAACCTGAAATTCAAACAGGGATTTGCACCAAAGTCTGTTTGCTCCCCAAGCCCGGGGTCTCCACCCTTGCAAGAGTCCGTCACGCCAGGTTTGACCACCACCCAGGAATCGCTGGCCAGCAAAGGCGGGTTTATAGGCCATGTTCGTCCCCGCCATGTTTCCCAGGTCACATGACTAATGAGGGTCTGATCACTCAAGACCTAAATTCAATCTAGCAGGTGCAGGCTGAGCACCCATGGCACCCCAGGCCTTATGCGAGGGGTTTGCACAGCATCGTTCCAGAAAGCCAAATCAAAAACCAAACCTGTTACCATCGAGTAGATTCCAACTCATAGCGACCCTATAGGACAGAGGACAATTGCCCCATAGGGTTTCCAAGGAGTGCCTGGTGGATTCAAACTGTCGATCTTTTGGTTAGCAGCTGAGCTCTTAACCACTGCACCACCAGGGTTTCCATACTAGAGTCTAAATGCAAAACTGCAAGGCACTGCATTTAACAATCTAGATTTCCTGCTGCTTCTGAAAAACAGGAGTTTTGGCAACCTTGGACTGCAACTGAGTAGCTACAATTGAGTAGCAGCAGACTCCGGGCGCCCCAGCCCCCAGCCCTCTCTAGCGTTTCTTGTACCCAGACTGCCTTACTCGCTGGCACTGCCTGTCTGGTCCCAATAGACATCGTCTGCAACCCACTCTCCAGCCTCCTTTCTTACCATGTGCTTCTCTCGACCCTCACTTTCAGCTCCAGCCATAATGAGCTACTTTCAGATCCTTGTTGTTGTTGTGTGCCGTCAAGTTGATTCTGACTCATAGTGACCATATAGGGACAGAGTAGAACTGTCCCATAGTGTTTCGAATCTTTACAGGAGCCGATCGCCTGGTCTTTTCTCCTGCGAAGCGGCTGGTGGGTTCCGACATTTTGTTTAGCGACCAAGCACTTAAACATTGCACCACTAGGGCTCCTTGAATTAGATCCTTGAATGCATCTAATTCTCTCTTGTCCCCAGGCCTTAGCATGTGTTATTCTCTCTACCTGGAATACTCCCCCTGCCCCTCTTCCCCAGTCCTTGCCTGGCTAACGCTTAATAATTTTCGAGCCCCAGAGGGCCAATCTTGCAAGAAGCCTGCCTTGATTTGCACTCCCCTCCCCTCCCCTGTGCAAATAGTTAAGTGCTTGCCTGCTAGCCAAAAGGGTGGAGTCCACCCAGAGGTGCCCTGGAAGAAAGGCCTGGCAATCTCCTGAAAAATCAGCCATAGAAAACTCTATGGAGAACAGTTCTATTCTGACACGCATGGGGTCGCCATGAGTCAGAATCAACTTGACAACAACTGGTTTGGTTTTTTTGTTTTTGCCCATCCCCCGACACGTCCTTACTCCTGTTGATTATTCTGTGCTGTAGTTGCCTCTTAACTTATCCATCTACCTTGTTAGATTGCCGGTTCTAAGAGGGCAGGTACTGGGTCTTTTCATTGGCTGTGGAACCTCTGACCTGCAGCATGGGGACTGACTTCATAATATTTCCAGAAGTAGTGTGTTCTGCCTGGGTGTCCACTTTTCTCCTAGTAAAGCGAAGCTCTGAAACAAGGACCAGAGTCCCAAACGTGTTTTGTTTGCTTCTCACAGCTGTTTGTTTTCTTTCAATTATTGCCAATATTTAAAAATCTAGAAATATAAAAACCTTTCTAGTTTTTATTGCAAAAAAAATCAAAATATTTGGCAACAGAAGAGCAGAAATCGTGGATGGCAACTCTCAGCCGAGGCTGAGCAGCAGCCCGCCTTTTACGTGAGGCTGCACACCCTTCCCCAAGTCCCCACCCAGCCTTTGGCAGGTTACACTGTCTGCTTGGCTCCTGGAAGGTGCCAGCTCTAGATCCTTGCCCTGATCTGGCCTTTGGGACAGAAATGACCATCTCAAGAGGACAGGGATTGTGCTAGGGCGAGGGGGCAGCTTCTGACTCTGCCCTCCTTAGCCCACCTGGGGGAAGAGACCTTCCGCCAGCCTTCCCCACTGAGCACATACTGGAGATCTTTATTTTAGAACGGTCCTCAGCAGTTACTATCTGCCCAAAGTGGGCCCCGCCACCAGGATTATGCAGGAACGACAGATGTGAAAGTAAGAAGCCACCCCTGCCTGACATTTCTGCCATGGTGGTTTTATTTTTAGAAGCTGCCCTCTGGGAGAGCAGACAATCCGAGAAGCACTTCCTGGAAATCACTCCCAGGCAGAGACCATAATAGTCTTTTCTCTGTGTCTGGGACGCTTTCACCCCAGCCACTTCCTCTGGGTCCCTGACTCAGTGCGGGGCTCTGGGGGAGTCAGGAAGCAGGTGTTCCCCTGCCTTCTAGCAGTTCATGATATAGCAGGGACGGCTCCTCGCCCGCAAAGATGCCCTGTGTTCTCAATCATCGCCTATTCATGCACAACCTTTACTGAATGTCCACTGTGTGCCAGGCACTCTGGACCTGCCTTAGCCATGCTGGTTCCTCTGCTTAGCACACCATCCTTCAGTCTGCTTTTAAAGCTCAGCTGAAATGCTACGTCTCTGGTTGACTTTTCCAGGCCCCACTCCCCCCACCCTCACCCCCACCCCAGCCCCCGCAGTGGGCTGGGTCCTCTTGTGTGTTCCAACCCTGTCCTGTCCCTATTGTCAAGCTACTTATATTAGATGATTAATACCCAGGTATGTTTCTCAAGGGCAGGGGCTGTGTCCCGTTCACTATACTGTCCCTCCCCACCAAGACAGTGTCTAACACATAATGTGTTGGCAAAAATGATCATCTGACTGAATAAATCAGTAGTGTTCCAAGAACAGACTGGGAATTTGTGTGGGCATTTTTGGGTGTCACAAGACTGGTGGGACACTATTGGTGTTTAGGGAGGAGGGGCAGGGACCTGGACCTCTTGCAATGCACAGGACAATTCCCCACAACAGGTCGTCCCCTGTCCTACACAACTTTCACATGTCCCACCAGACCTTCATTTAGACACAAACCCTACAATTACCTGAATCTAAAACCTGCTTTATATACAAATGCAATGGGATTTTCCCCAGTTTTAATATACACTGTATTATGCAGGAATGCAGATACCAGGTTAAGCAAGGGAAGCTGTGCTTAGTTTTGTTTACCATTTTGGAAAATCACTGTTCATCCCACTCACCAGCCATCATGGTGCTTCCATGCCTGTATATAAATACATTTAGCTTTTGATTCAAAATATCAAATATAAAGTATTGACAATATTCAGTTAATACTGTCTTCTATTAAACCCAAACTAACTCGTTTTAAGTTAGGTACAAGCTTCTGATGTAATTCTGTCTGTGCATTTACATAGTGAAATACAAATTCCTTTATTCTAAATTACTTTCATTTCTCTCGCTTCTCCTTTACGATAAAGACTGGGCATCATACTGAGTTTTAATCCAGGGGGAACCACCGCCTCAGCTGTAGCATCGGGATGAATCCACCCCTTCCCTTGGCCTCAACTGCTCGTTTTGTGAAATGGGAACAGCCAGACATAAACCCCATGGACTAGGGCACCGGAGTGTCCCTAGGACCTATTCTCCACCCCAGCCTCAATATCCCCATCTGCCACATCGCTCAGTGATCCTTAAGTGACACTCACCGGACCCCCCCTCGCCATCCCAACACTCCACAAATCCGGGGCACCCCGGACGGAAGGGACAGCTCCCGGTTGCTACGGACTACGGAGATTGCGTTGAGACCCCTCTACGCCGTGACGGCGTGCGGCGAGGTCTAGAGCGCATGCGTCCCACTCACTCTGCCCCGCGCGTCGCGGAGGGCGGCTCCCAGGATGCCTAGCGAAACATGACGGAACATGGCGGCCGCCTTGCTGTGTACGTTGTTTGCCAGGTGGGATACAAGAGCCCACCTAGCCTCACGTTTTCTCCAGGCGCCGGTAGCTGGCGCCCGTATTCACAAAACGGGATCAGATAAAGCAGCAGGGTAAGGGATGGGAAAGTTTGTTCGGGCTCCGCTTCTCCTTGCCGGATTGGAGACTGCGCGAGTCGAACGGAGCTTTAAAAAGCGCCAGTGACCCTTCGCCTCCCTACATCCCTAACCCCCTAGGGCCATTTATGGACTCCGGGGGAGAGGGGGCGCGGTTGAGCCCCCCCTCCTCCCCGACAGATTAGATTGTGCTAAAGCAGGTGCAGGAGGGGAGAAGGGCAGAGTCGACACGCCTGCGATCCCCGCTGCTCAATGCTCCTACTGAAAAGGAAGTCCCCTCGCCGCCTGCGATCTCGGAAATGGCTTCAAGGCTCCGCGTCCACCTATTTTAGTTCACACCCATTGTGATGTCACCATTCCTCCTACTCTCTCACCCCTATTCCTTGCGTGGCCCTGACTCCTGACTGGGTGACAAGCTGAAAATGCCCCACTTCTCCCCAAGCAGATTCAACCCGGAATCCGACCCAAGAGTGACTGAGTGATTAGCCCCCTACCGCCCTAGGAAGGGGACTTCCCACAGTGAAATCGGACCCACTGCCTGTTAAAAGGGACTCAGGCAATTGGGTTTGTGGTGTGCATGGGAAAGCCTTGGGCAACCAAGAAGACCTCCTGAAGGGAGTCAGGAGATCCTAGCTGGGCTGTGAAGGATGGAGGGTTCAGGCTAGTGGAAGGGAGGGTGCTGGCCCAGGCTGAAGAGCCCAGCTGCTTCCTGGGTTCCTTTACCAGCTCTGGCAGCTCATCCAAACTGAACTCAGTTTTTCCCCCAGCTGTGCTGCCTCTCTGCAGTGACCCCACCAAAATCCACTGCAGAGGCTGAGCCAGAAGTCTGGGAGCTATCCTCAGCTCCACCCTTCCCCTCCTCTGGAAGTCATCCCCAGCTTTTGCACTCAGGATAAATCTGAAACTTTAACCTGGCATTCAAAGCTCCATGACCTGACTCCTGGTAATGTCTCCAGTCTCACCTCCTCACTCTTGGACACTCACCCTGCATTACATTGATTCCAAACTGCTTGCTGGTTCTAAAATTCATTCTGCTATGTCATACCTTTGCTTTTGCAGGCACTATTCCCTTTGTCTTGAATGCCATTCATCTTTCTCCCTCTCCCTTGTTCATCTGATGAACTTTTTCTCCTTCAGTTTGCTGCTTTCCCCAACATACCCACACCCATCCACAAGTCTCTCTTTAGACTACAGCATCTCATATATTCATTCCACAAATGTTTATTAAGCGCCTACCGTGGGCAGTGTGGAAACCCTGGTGGCGTAGTGGTTAAGAGCTACGGCTGCTAACCAAAAGGTCAGCAGTTCGGATCCACAAGGCGGTCCTTGGAAACGCCGTGGGGCGGTTCTGCTCTGTCCTGTAGGGTCGCTATGAGTTGGAATCGACTCATCGGCAGCGGTTTGTTTTGTTTTGTTTTGTCTTTTGGTAGGCAAGGCCTCCTGCATCTCTTCGCTTGGATTTCCTTTGTGCTATATTTGTTTGCCTGTCTCCCACACTGGTCAGGGACTGTCTTAGCTCATTTCTGAACCCCAGTGTCAAGCACAGTGCCTGGCACACAGTAAGTATCGAATTGTTAGAGAAGTGGAAAAGCAGACAGAGCCACAAGGAAGCCGAAAACCTAAAGACATAGCCTTTCTTTCTGTTGCCACATCGTGTTAAGTAGAAAGTCCTTTGAAGAGCAACTTTGGGACTAGAAAGGGAGCGACAGCACTGCCGAGATGAGGTAGACTGAAGGTTGGTGCCCACAGTCTGCCACTGGGAGAGTTTGTCAGCTCCGTAGGGGTGGCTTCCCGAAAGTAGTTGGCTCCTCCGAGAGAGAGGAAAAGAACCCAGATAACCCTTTCCTCCCAGAGGAATTTTTCTCTTCCACAGAATTTTCCAGAATCCCCATCCCTGAGCTTCAGTACTTTTTTTCCTTCAGCAATAACAACACCCACAACAAACCAGCAATCAAGTCCTCAGAAATCAGCAGGGCTGAAAGAGTAAACGAGAACACTCCTTTGGAACACTTCGTTCCAAAGAGCTGAAGCTGCGGCAGTCCCACTTGTTCCTGTGGACAGCTCATCCCTCCTTCAGAAAAAGGTGTGCGGGAGGGAAGCGTGGGTTAGAGTGTCAGAGGAATAGCTCCAGGAAGGCCAAATTAGCCCAGGGATGTGGTGAGTCGGAGAGAAAGAGGCTGTTGCTAGGCCACCAGCATGTTCCCCCTCCTCCCCCCATGGCTGTACTCTATGCTGGAGAAAAGCTGTTAATTTTTTCAAGGAAGGCAGATGCCCCCAGGCCCAGGCACAGGTGAGGTGGGGCAGAAGCAGGACTCTGAAGACAGGCGGGACTGGGTTGAGACTGGCCGCCTCCTTGTGAGAGCAGGGGCAAGTCCCTTTTGAACCTCATTTCTTTCTTTGCAATATGTGATAATGCATCGAGTTATTGATGGGAATGAAAAGATTTTTTTTAATGCGATATGTATGGAAAGCATTTAGCACAGTACCTAGCGCATAATAAAGCCAGACCAGCTGCTTTCTAGTCGATTCTGACTCATAGTGACCCTACAGGACAGAGTAGAACTGCCCCACAGGGTTTCTAAGGAGCAGCTGGTGAATTTGAATTGGCCATTCATCAAACAAATGTAGTCAGCAGTATAGAAGTAAACAAAAGAAAAACCTTTGGCCTTGAGGTGTGTACTTTCTAGTGGGGAACTGGGTAAGGAGTGTCTATGCTGTGTTAGATGGTAGGACGTGCTGGGGAGAAAAATAAAGACGGAGGGAGGGTAGAGAGGACCAGGAGGTCCAGAAGAGCCTCACCAGGGGGTGACTTCTGAGTAAAAATAAAGGACGTAGGGGAACCATGAGGTATCTGGGGGAAGAACATTCCAGGTTGAGTGCACAGCCATTGCAAAGACCCTGAGGTGGGAGCGTGCCTGTGGTGTTCAGAGAACAGCTGACCAATGAGACTGAAGTCAGTTGATAAAAGGGGGTAGGGGGTGAGGAGGTCAGAGAAGTAGGAGGGGCCCAGCCCTGTTGGACCTTGTAGGCATTTTCTCTAGTAAGATGGTTTGAGCAGCAGAGTGACCTGACATGGCCTGACTTGTCACAACAGGCCCCCTCTGACTGATGTGGGGAATAGACTAGGGGGGCAAGGGTGATAGCAGGGAGCCCAGATGAGGAGCGGTGATGCTGTTAGAATGGTTAGTTTGGGCCAAGGTCTGTAAAGCAGCCGGTGCTGGAGCCTGCCGCATGGTGCAGACTTGTTCTAAGCACATTTTCGGAGACCCTGCCCTGTGGAGGGCAGCACTGCCCATGACGTCCATTGTCTCATTCAGCTCTCCCTACAAGGGGGTAACTCCAGTCTCCATATGAGGAAACCGTCCTTAAGAGATTAAGCACTGGCCCAGTTCCCCAGCAGGTTTTTCCTTGTTAGTAGGGTGGCTGTTGATAGAAGCAGCTTCAGGCTGAGAAGGAAGTGCCAGAGCCACAGCCTGGGCCCCGGGTTCCTTGTGGAAATAAGCTGTCGGGTTGCAGCGCTGGCCTTCAGAGGGCCCACTTCCTCCAGCACCATTATGGTCAGTGAGAGGAGCCTGGGATCTCAAGATGTCTGCGAGAAAACCACTCATCCCTCAAACCTGACAAGGGCTGGGGTCAGAAGAGGAAACCCTAGGTCACACTCTGCTCCCAGAGCAAAGCACCTTGAAAGGGATCTGCTTGGGAAATCCCAGAAGGGAAGAGGCAGGGAGGGAAGGAGACCAGAGCAGGTCCCACTCATCCTAGCCCCAGCCAATATGGGACCAGGGCCCCGGTCTTACCTGTAGGCCAGGTGTTGCTGCACGTCCTCTGTCCTGCAGTCACTGCTGAGAGTGTTCTTCCACCAGCAGGGTGGTGGCCCTTGTTGTCCCAGCTGGAGTTCCTGCTGTCTCACTGCCTGCTCTGGGCAGGGTGGTACCCACCCTGATCAGCTGACTCACCATGGAATGGCTGGCGGCCCAGGGAAGGCAGAAGGGGTTTGACCTTAGTCTCAGTTGGAGGTGGGGTTAGGAGCCCACATAGCTGCTGCTGAGACAGATATGTACCAAGACTTCTTGGTCTTTTTTTGTGTGTGTTTTTGGTGAAAGTCTACACAGGAAATGAAGTTCTCATTTAACAATTTCTATACATATTGTTCAGTGACATTGGTTACATTCTTCCCAGCATTCTCATTATTTCCATTTTGGTTGTTCAGTTTCCATTAATCTAGCCTCCTGTGCCACCACCCCCCACCCCCCCACCCCTGCCTTGCCTTCTCACGTTTGGTCTAGGGTAAATATTTACCATTTGGTATTATCTAGACGATTATTTTGAGGAGCACAGTACACATGGGTGGTATTATTTTATGGGCCAATCTGTCACTTGACCAAAAGTGACTCTTCCGGGAGTGATTTGAGTTCCAAGTTTAAAGGGCATCTCCGGGCGATAGTCTTGGGGGTTCATCTAGTCTCTACTGGTCCAGTCAGTCTGGACTTTTTTCATCTTGGTGTTTTCTTGAGGAGGTGCAGACTTGGGTTGGACACCAGTCCTGCTGAGCACAGGGAAGACAGGGAGGTGACAGGAGTATCCAGGGTCTTTAAAGTGACCATATCTTGTGACCTGGCGTTTCTTCTTCCAGGAACCCATCTCCATGTTGCTTGTAATAGAAAAAAATCTGGAAATCCCGAGTGCCCATCACTAGGGTCCGGTTAAAGAAGTCATTATCCAGGAAGATCCCACAGCTGTTAAAGTCGTTTAAGGAAGAAGCCATGAGGAAATGTTCCCGAGTATATTAACCTACTGAAAAGTCAGTGTTGTGAGTCTGATCTGGTGTTTTGTTTTCGTTTGTTGAAAAGTGGATGTGCACTGCAAATAGCCTGGGAGGACCTGTTCTAAAACGCTAAGGTGGTGGGATTGTGGGTGGGGTTTTTGGTTGGTACTTTTCTGTGTGTTCCCAAGTGGTGGTGTTTAAGTTAATTTGTGTTTTGCTTCGAATGCTTATGATTTTTGTAATGACTAGGGGGAGAAATTAAATTGGATTGCTTTTAAAAGGAATATAGATTGCTTGTCTCCAGGGAGGGGGCCCAAAGTGCTGTGGACTGGGGTGATAGGGAGATTCTGTTTATAGCACACTTTTTCAAATTGTGAGAAAATAAAAATTTGAATGTATTATTTATTCCAAAAATAGTTGCATAAAATTAAACAGAAAAAGACCCTGGTGGGTTGGGTTGGACAGGGTACCCGTCACACTTGGTGCCTTGGGGCGGGACCAGGGAAACGTGCTGGTCAGTCCCATGAGGAGTGACACAGGCCACCCGCCCAGGGTGGGGTGAGTATCAGGGCTGCTCACTGGGCCGGGCCTGGCAGGCCCACGTCACCATCCCCGTGACGAGCCTAGGCAGAATTACACTCACCTTGGGCATCAGATCCTGACTAGGGCCCAGCTGGCAGTCAGCCCTGTGGAGGAGGGACACTGTCGCTCCACTAGCAGCACCGACTGCCCACAGAGCACCAGAATACTGCCCGCGGCAGCTTTAAAGGTGTCATCTCAACGACTCCTCGTGTTGCCCCTGTCAAGCAGGTGTGATTAGCACCAGCCCTACAGGTGGGGAAACTAAGGCACAGACAGATGAAGTCCCTCTCCTAAGTTACACAGCTGGAAAGTCGCTCCAAGGCCATGTTTTCTCTGCTGTGAGACAGACGCTGATTTTGAAAGCTGAGGCACAGGACACCCCTGAGGGCCGAAGCCTAATGGGCCTGAAGCCTGAGGTAGACCCAAGGCTTCGAACGGTTCGTTCTGGTTTAAACCCCTGCTGAGAACTTGCATTTCCACCCCAGATATACTGAATCAAAATCTACAGTTTAACAAGATTTCCAGGTGATTCTTATGTATAGTAAAATTTTGAGAACCACTGCTCTACTAGTGGTTCTCAGAATTGGTCCCTAACCACCAGTATTAGCATTGCCTGGGAACTTGTTAGAAATGCAAATTCTCAGCAGGGGTTTGCACTGGAAGGAACTGGTTCAAAGCCTTGGATAGACCCACCCTTGATGGACCCACCTTGGGCCAGGCCTCCGAGGCCAAAGCAAAGTAGGAAATAGAGAACCTAATCAAACCGAGTGGCCCCCCGTCCCACCTCAGTTCATACAGTCTTGGGCTGGAAGGGCCTTAGGAGAGAATAGAGAAGGAAATGGAGGCCCAGAGGGGTAAGGGACTTTCCTGTGGTCACCCTCGAAGTCTGCATTGATCTGGGACTAGACCCAAGTCCCCCAACTCTCACCTACATGCCAGGGCTCTCTTTCCATTCTATGGTTTTTATAGCTACCTCCCATTTCTTTGACTTGTCTCATTACTCCAGCCACCAAGAAACATGTCTTTCATTGGACATACCCTTGCTCAGAAGTCTTCAGTGGCTCCCTACTGCTTCAGAGTCAAGACTAAACTCCCAGACCTGACCTTTGAGGCCTCTGTGGTCCACCCATTTATCACCTCTTCAACCTTGTCCCTCTAACATTTCTACGCCAGCCAGGCCAGAGTCGTCACCACTCCCACCCCCAACTCATACCCACATCACATTCATCCCTGATTCCACCTTTGCCTGGGCTGCTGCCTCCCCTGGGATGCCTTTCCCCACCCCTATCCCACCAAGTCCACTGAGCTCCCCTTCCAGGGAGCCTCCTTGATCATCCCCATCCACAGGACCTCTCCCACCTCTGCATTCTGGATCACACTGTCCCATTCCATTCTTTGATATAGCCATCTTGTGTTGTTCATGTACATTAGGCTGACCATTGCATCCTAAGTTTCTTGAGATCCAAAAAAATAAAACCAAACCAGTTGCCATTGAGTCGATTCCAACTCATGGCGACCCCACGTGTGTACAGTTGAACTGTACTCCATAGGGATTTCAGTGGCTGAGACCTTTTGAAAGCAGATCACCAGGTATTTCTTCCGAGGTGCTTCTGGGTAGGTCAGAACCTTCATTAGAACCTTCAACCTTTTGCTTAGTAGTCAAGCGCATAACCATTGACACTACCCAGGGACTCCTCCTTGAGATCAGGGCCTAGTGATTAGGTTTACAGTGGCTACTATTTTCAAAATAAAAATTGGAGCCTGTGCTCTGGCCAGAACATATTCTGCTTTGTTACATATTTGTAGAACAATCTTAAAAAGTTTAAAACACGAGTAGCCACCATACAGCATATACTCAGAAACTCCCAAACGGCACCCACAGCAGACCTAAGTATCCACCCAACGCTACTTCCTGCCGAGCCCAGAGGTGGCCCAGAATCCTCTCGCAGTAATGCCATGGGCAGCTGCTGCCACCTGGAGTCAGCCCATGTGGTGAAATGTCTGTGCCATCTCGAATGGGTGCCCCAGGAGGGCAGGGCCTTGTCTTTAGGGTTCACCATGTATCCCTAGGACCTAGATCCATGCCCGGCACAGGTAGGCTCTCAGTAATGTCTATTGAATGAATGAATGCCCCTCCTAGAAGAGTCCATCTGTTATAAATGCAATGGATAGCTGCCACTGAGTTGGCTTCGACTCCTGGCGACCCCATGGACAACAGAACAAAACGTTGCCAGGTCCTGCAGCATCCTCACGATAACGGGCATGTTTGAGTCCATCATTGCAGCTATTGTGCCAATCCATCTCACCGAGGGTTTCCCTCACCCTTGCTAGCCCTCTACTTCACCCAATGTGATGTCATCCTCCAGTGATGGATCCCTGCTGATGACGTGTCCAAAGCAAGCTCACCCTTATTTGAAAGCTGGGCTGGGCTGTGGTGTCAGGCAGATAAGAATCCCAGACCTGTGACACCACACAAGTTAGGGAACCTCTCTGAGCTTCAGTTTCCCACCTCCAAAGGGAAGTGCCGGTACGTGATTTACAGGCTTGACCTGAAGGTTAAACGAATGACTCATGTAAAGCACCTAAGACGCAGCTGGCACTCACTGATGTTTCTGACTTCCTCATACTTGGCTACATCAGTCTTGGCTACAAGTTACAGAAACACAGTTCATCTGGTTCATGTGAAAGTGGGGGTGCTCTTACCGGAAGAAGGGGGAATGGCTGCTGAGCAAAGAGATACCAGCTGTACACTCCGACCCCCTGCGTGGAATCTGGCGGTGCAGCAAGCCCGGGACTGTGTCCCACAGCTGCATCCGGAGCACTGGATAATAACAGGAAGAGCACCGTTTATCGGGCCCCAATGCCTGCCGGGCTCTGCGGGGCACTGGGCACGGCCCGATCCGTGTGTTGTTCCCAGCTGTCCCTGGATTCAGAGTGAAGCATCTTGCTAAGCCACACAGCCTGGGAGAAGTAAAGCTGACCTGGCTGTGGACCGAACGGGGCACCTGGGCTCTGGGACTCTTTCCTGTCTGCCTGCAGCCGAGTCACAGAGATTTCCCAGGGTGGCAGCGAAGGCCCTGATGAGTCAGAGCCAAAATCAGAATGTAGGGGGGCTGGAACCCCACACTCCCACAAACTCATGTCCCTGGCCTGGAAGCACAGGCATCTGCCGGAGACCCCGGCCCATAAGAGAACTTTGTGCCACCTCATAGTACCCCAAAGCAATATCCTGAAGGGGAGACAACTTAGAGTCTGGGCTGTGGAGTCCCAGCTGCCCGGGCTCAAATCCCCAGGCACGGGCCATGTGACCTCGGGCAAGCAACTTTCTTACTCTAGGCCTCAGTTTCCCCACCTGTGAAATGGGGAGTGATTTCACCTGGCTAATGGGAATACTCACTAAATGTAAACTATTATTCTTAAAGTGGGCATCAGTCAAGTGGCAAAAATGTATCTGTTATGCTCTAATGTGATCCAAGAGCAAGCAGATAGAAATCACCTGCTCCTTTCTGGGACATAACGTCCAGGTTGGACTGTCCCTGA